CGAGTGGGCACATAAAGTTTATCGGCTGGGGAGGGGGACCCCAGCCAGCTCCTCGCCCTGCCCTGTAGGGGGGTAGCATCCCCGACCCACGCCAGCATGTCCCGCCGGCCGCTGCAGGCCAGGTAAGGAACCGAATCCCCCCTCCCCCCGGCTCCTCAGCTGAGCGGCATTCCTCCTCCCTCCCAGGCTTGCTACTGAAATACCGGCGCAAGCCTGGAGGGAGGGGGTGGTGGCCGGCTTCCAGTTCCTGCGGCTTGTGAGTACGGGCACCGGGCAGGCAAGGGGGGCTGGCAAGGGGGCTGCTCCCCCAAGAGGGTGACGGGGGGGCTCAGCTGAGGAGCCAGGACAAGGGGGGAGAGGGCAACTTGGCTCCTTACCTGGCCTGTGGCGGCCGGAGCGACATGCTGGCGTGGGGCGGGGAGCCGGCTGGGGTCCCATCCAAGCCGATAAACTTTACATGGCCCCTCCTTGCCCGCCCAGTGCCCCTACTCACCAGCTCCAGGAACTGGAAGCCGGCAACCACCCCCCTCCCTCCAGGCTTGCCACCATTACAGCAGCAAGCCTGGAATGGAGGAGGAGTGCCACATGTATGGGGAAGAGGCGGGGCCAGGGTGGGGATTTGGGGAGGGAGCCAATGGGGGATGGAGGAGGCGGAGTCGGGGGGGGAGCAAGAGCCCTTCCGGGAGGGCAAAATTGCTTGTTGGTCCAGTGTCCCAACCGCACATTGGTCGGGACGTGAGACAAACAAGCAAATATCGGGACAGTCCCAATAAAATCGGGACGTCTGGTCACCCTAAGCCTAAGAGTCACAAATGCATTGGTCACCCTGGCCAGGTCTGTGTCTGTTAAGATGGGATGCAATCTTCTGGCCAGTAGAGAATGGATATGTACATTTTTTGTCACCGTGGCTATTTATACATCAATAGCATAATGGCCCAAAGGACCTAAATGCTACAGCGTGACATAACAATCGGAAGCATACCTCTCCCCCTTTCCAAACCCAAAAGTGGGGTGCAGGGTATGACAAAGAACCAAACTGAAGAACAAAAGTGATTTTGCAGGAAAGCTTAACTGCTGTGTTTTCCCTCAGGTAAATAACTCTTTGTCCTATGAACATTTCTTTATTCTTACCTGCATTCAGCTTTAACTAGCTTCTTTTCATTCAGGTGTTGGATTCAGCTAGGCACTGAGAGAGTATTTGGGGATGGACTATGGTGGTGGTTTCTTCTGACTGCAATGGAAGAGTTTCTGCCTGAGGGTAGAAGTGATCTGACCAGGATAGGATGATGGTTCTTGCGTTTCTGATGTCCAAGCCCCATCCAAAAATTCATTATAGTAACAGCCAGCTGGGGGGCAAATATCACCCAGGAGAAACCAAAATGGAGTGTTTGGGTAGAGGGCTTCGGACTGTCATAACAGATGCTTCATCTATGTGGATATTGAAGTCTACCAAGACAATGGGTCTGATATTGATTCTTAAGAACTTCATCATTGTGTCAGAAAGTATCTTTTACCAGCTTCTCTGGGAAGCCAGTGATATCTTGTGGTTTATAGATTAGCAGGATGTCCAATTCAGTTTTGTCTCTGTGGTCTCATAGATTAAATGGACATATTCAAATCATTTTGATTTTAGTGACATTTTCCTGCGTTTGAGCTGGAAGGAATAAAATGGCTACTCCACCTCCTTCTGCAAGCTGGCTGGATGTAAAGTGGTTGAGCTAGTTGCAGTTTAAAGCAGAAAGTGAAATTTCTAAATTGCTGTTTTCCCCAGGGATTGTGTCTGGTAAACCCTTTGAAAATCAGTGCTTGTAAGTGCTGTTAAGAATTCCATTCAGATACTGTAAGTAGTTTTAGGAATTACATTCATATAATAGAGGAAAATTGAGGAAAATTTTCCAGTATACTAGAAATCCAGCTAATAAATATAAAATAAATGAGTGACCCATCTCTGTTTTTATTGAGGGAGTCCACTGGCATAGAAAAACCATAAGTATGAGCAATGGATTTACACCATACATGAACTACCATTTGCTGCTCCTGCGTCACCCTCCTCCCTCATCCTCTCTCCACCTGTTCTCCTCCCAGCTGCTTCTCTCCATCCTTGTTTTATTCCTGTAACCTCTTAACTCTCAATCCTCATACCATGTGGTTCTCACTTCTCAGCCTAGTGGTTGTCCCCTGACTGGGATAAAATCATCCATTACAAGAATTTTTTTAGCATGGATTGCAGAGTGAGTAACACACTTATCCATGTGTTATTTAGATGACACAGTGCGAGTGTTTCCTGTTCATAAAGTACTATAATAACAATCCCCTGGGATAAACAAACTCTGAGGCAGAAACCTCAGCTTTTGCAGGATTATCCATGATTTTACCACATTCTGGAAGCTGTAATTGGAGCATTTAAATATCCTGAAAAATTGTTTCCTCACAAATAAGAACATAATCATTCCACAATGTCATGGTATATTTATGTGATGTCTGCACCATGGGATGTTTTGTTGTGATGTCACAATGTTGCAGAATGATCCTACAGCACCTGTAGAGCAAACCAAGTCCAAATCCAAGGCGTTTATTACTAAAGCTGATGGAACAATAATAACTGAATGCTTTCGTGTGACACATTTCAAATACAACATCCAGCAAAATGTTTGTCATTAATCATTCATCTCAGTTATTAACCCACGAGATAATTATTGCTGAGCTAACAGGAAGCATCCTAATTGTTATTATACTGAAATGTCTAATTAGTAAATATTTGGTGGAACTAAATGATGATAGGTTAAAAGATGGCATGTTGTGACATGACATGAATAGCTGACTTTGTTATGGGTATAAACACAATTCATTTTAAGGCAGTAGTGAATCAAAGTGAAAATTACCATACAGCATCCCAGAAGTCTGTATTTCTGAAGCCATTCCATTACAGTGTAATTCCTGACAATATCAAACTGAAAAAAATCTCCTTTCCTAGATGCAATGTTGATACAGCTAATGCTTCTAGAGTTCTTAAATGTATAATTGTTTCCATAGTAGTGATAGATAGTACCTATCATCCAGCTCTATTCTTATTACATTACATGTAGAGGATTCACTTACTACCTTATGTCTACAGTGAACAAGGCACCTAAGGAGGAATTGCCTGCTTTCCAAGGGATCTTTCAGTTTCTATTTTGATAAGGTGAAGTCTTTATTTTAAGCACTGAATGACATCAGACCTGAACTAATTCTGGAGACTGATAAGGATTAGTTCCTTGTCTAGTAATCTAACTGGTCTACTAAACCTAAAGATTAACAGTCTTCCTTCCTACCCATAAATGTCCTTATTTTCGATGCATGCAAACTCTTCCCGGTTAAAAGAACAAGCTGATGACAACGTTACCCTGGAGAATATGAATCAGATGATTGAGTTTGCTAGTCTAAATTAATCACTGTAAGGAAATAGTTGCATAAAGAATGCTGTATTTTCTCCATTTGTTCACTGTGTTACCTCTAATAAGATACAGTGATTCCTTACCGTGATATTCAGTCCATGTTTTAAAGATTACAAGCTAACTACAATGGCATATAGGTTAACAAATTAACAATATTTCAATTTACTCTTTAAATTAAAACATGTGAAATGGACAAATGGATCAATTAATCACATCAGAAGTTGTCCCAGGGCATCACATTTCAGTGACCCAGGTGGTTTAACAAATGAATTGGATCATTTAATTGATTCAGCTATGGACTCAAAGATCTCATGTTTCCAGATGGCTTTTTTAAACATTTATGTGGACCCTATTAGATGGTACAAGGTGGATTATTAGCTGGGTGCCTGTTAAAATTCACAAAATATTGCAATCCAAGGGCAGCTTTAAAACCTAGAGCAGGGGTGGGCCAACTTTTTGGCCTGAGGGCACATCTGAATATGGAAATTGTATGGCGGGTCATGAATGCTCACAAAATTGGGGTTGGGGTGTGGGAGGGGATGAGAGCTCTGGCTGGGGGTGCGGGCTCCGGAGTGGGGCCAGAAATGAGGAGTTCAAGGTATGGGAAGGGGCTCCAGGCAGGATGCGGGGTGGGGTGGGTGGGTGGGTGAGGGCTCTGGCTGGGGGTGCGGGCTGGGGATGAGAGGTTTGGGGTGTAGAAAAGTGCTCTGGGCTGGGACCGAGGGGTTCAGAGGGCAAGAGGGGGATTAGGGCTGGGGAAAGGGGTTGGGACACAGGGTGGGGGCAGTGAGGGCTTCAGCTGAGGGTGCAGGCTCTGAGGTGGCACTGGGGATGAGGGTTTTGGGGTGCAGGAGGGTGCGGTGCTCCGGGACTGAGGGGTTTGGAGTGCGAGAGGGGGAATCAGGGCTGGGGCAGGGGGTTGGGGAGCAGCGGGGTGGCTCAGGGGTGCAGGGTCCGGGTGGCGCTAACCTCAAAGTGGCTCCTGGAAGCAGCGGCATGTGTCCCCTCTGGCTCCTACGTGGGTGCGCAGCAAGGTGGCTCTGCTGCGCACTGCCCCGTCCACAGGCACCACCCCTGCAGCTCCCATTGGCTATGGTTCCTGGCCAATGGGAGCTGTGGGGACGATGCTTGGTGCGGGGACAGCTTGTGGCGTGAAGCCCCCTGGCTGCCCCTACATGTAGGATCTGTATTATGCAATATTATGGCTTTTCCAAATATAGAATTTTGACACATTTTTTGTTAAACTGAAGCATTTTAACCTTAAAAAAATTAAGTCTGTCCTTTAAAACATTTCTATAACTATGTAGTAGAAAGACTGTGCCTTGGTGATCTGTTAAGGAACTCATAGACTCACAGGCTTTATGGTCAGAAGGGACCATCATGATCATCTAGTCTAACCTTCTGCACATTGCAGGCCACAGCACCTCACCGACTCCTGATGTAGACCCCTAATCTCTGGCTGAGTTAATGAACTCTCCTGGAACTCCTTTTTCATTGATTAAAAATAGCAATGGAGGAACCTCCAAAGGTTCAGGCCTCATTCCTCAGAAACAGTGAGTTTACATTATATATGAGAAGTTCAAAATATTCCTTACAGTGTTATTTCCTTGCACTTGTCTGTAATTAATTTAATCTGCTATCATGTTAGGTCCCTCTGGAGTTCCTCATAGTCTGCTCCAGTGCTGACTAAATTAAACAATTTTGTAACGTCCACAGATTTTTTTCTACCTGAATGTTCACCCTCTTATCCAGATCATTAGCAAATACATTAAACAGTGTTTCCAGTACAGATCTTTGGGGCACTTAATTGTTAATCTCTTCCCATATGGCAAATTGAATGCTTTATCCTTACTCTTTATTGTCTATCTCTTGGCTAGTTTCTAATCCATGGTAGTTCTTTACCTCTCACCTCATGACTACTAGTTTCTTTAATAGCCTCTTGTAAGGACTTTGTAAAAAGCTTTGTGAAAGTTCAAATAAATTGTGAGCTGGTTTTTCCCCTTGGCTCTTTTTCAGCTTTGCGTTACTATTCACAAGTAGAAAATAAAGGACTCTTATCCGAAGACACCTAATATCTCACCCAGACAGACATATCTAGTATTGTTGGAATGGTGAAGATGTTTATATCTAAGAGGTAATTGTAGAGTTCCCATTATAATAGCATCTAACCACCTCACAATCTGTAACACACACTGATCTCTACAACACTCCTGGAAGGAAAGTGTATTCCCTATAGATATATATAAGGTAGGGAACAGTCAGCGAGACAATATGACCTGTCCAAGGTCAGACAGGGATCCTGTGGCAGAGCAAGAACTTGAACCCTGGTCTGTAGACCCCTTACTTAGTGTTTTAACCTCTGGACCATCCTTCCCATCATCTGTTTTATTATGGTTGAGAAACTCAGATTAGCTTTGCACAGTTCTGTGCAATTTGCAATGCACACAAATAGTATGGCAAGTATCACCAGGGCTGTGATAAATAAAGTGACCCTTTCTACAGAATTTACTGATGAGAAATACTCCAATGATACAGAAGATAATGCTGTCCTTTTTCATTTCAAGGGAGATTCAGACAAGTAGAGGGAGTTTGGCTTTGTTTAGGGTTTAGAATTTTGAGAGGGTTTTATTTTTCTGGGCCCTTTTGATAGATGATGCTGGTGCTTAGGTCTGATTCACAGGGTCATCCATGAGACAGTTCTTATTACTAATGCTCCCACTAAATGCCTTGTTATTCAAAGGTTTCAGGGTAGCAGCCATGTTAGTCTGTATCCTCAAAAAGAACAGGAGTACTTGTGGCACCTTAGAGACTAACAAATTTATTAGAGCATAAGCTTTCGTGGGCTGTAGTGGAGTGGGCTGTAGCCCACGAAAGCTTATGCTCTAATAAATGTGTTAGTCTCTAAGGTGCCGAAGTGGACTGTAGCCCACGAAAGCTTATGATCTAATAAATTTGTTAGTCTCTAAGGTGCCACAAG